TCATATGACACAAACCATGCCGCGAGCGGAAGCCAAAACACGCGGCATTTAATACGCGCCGCAAATCGACTTCGATAATTCAAAAGTAACCGAAACGTAATCGGAATGTCGGATCTCTACAAAAGCATACTGTTTTCTTAAGTTACTTTTACTTTACTTTTACTTTAGAGATCCGATATTCCGATTACATTTCGGTTACTTTTGAATTATCGAAGTTGATTTGCGGCGCGTATTAGATCATATGACACAAAACCGCGCCGCGAGCGTAGACCAAAATACGCGGCATCGCTAATATCTTTTGATCTGTCTCTATATAAGAAGAATGCTCATACTCGAGAATCAGTACATCGAGAGCTTACGTTGTAGAGAATCAGTCGATCGAGAACTTTTAGTCTTGGATTTCGTTTTGTTAAAAAAAAGAGTGGAAGTGAACGCAAATTTGGCATTACAATATGGCACTTCAACGAGGAAGACCGCGTGTGTTGAACGAAGAAGTCATCAAGCGTACTATTTTCTACCATGCGCAAGAAATTGTAACAGACCAAGGTAAAATTATATCCAAGCATAACGAGATATGGGCAACTATGTCAAAAGAAATAGGACTAATACAACCGCATGCTTTATATACCCTGGTTGTGAATAATCGCTTTAATATCAAATGCACCTTGCTTGATAAGACAATCGGATTAACCTCGGAAATAGATAAAAATCTCTCGAAAACTAGTTCTTTGGATGTTAGTATTGCCAATTTATCAAAGACAACTTCTCTTTCATCAGACGAAGAACCAGAGCATAGTATAATAGATGTTATATTCGATAGAAATGAATTCGATAATCTTATAGAGACGAAACAGTATGCAAGAACGGAAAAACGCAAATTACCTTTTAGACAATACCAAGTATTATAGGCAGGAAAATGGCAAGAAAACGCAATTATAACAAAATTATGGGAAGCATGTAAATTGCAACGTGGATATCAATTTAAAAGAAATAAAATTTTCAATAATACTTTAACAATATGCGGAAAGTGTAATTGCGGTAGCAATTACATTAATATAAATGGAATCGCGAAAAATATTACAGATAGTGAAACTATTATAATTAAATGCACAATAACAAAAGGAACGGGCAATTGCAGTAAAAGACATTTACAAAATCCTATACGTCTTGAGATAGGTAAACAATTATATAAAGACAATGAAGGTGCTATGATTTATAGAACTAAAACAGCTGCAAAAATAATGTCACCGGGCGATCCGGAACCTCCTCATTTGTACAAACAACAAGCTCTCTGTGATGCAGTATATGAATATTCAGATTCAAAAATTTTTGATAAGAATCCGATTATATCGTTGGCTAATGCAATAATGTAAGAATGTGTATCACTAAAATGGATGAAAACACAGTAACAAGTGTTTATAATAAGTATTAGAAAGAGAATAATATTATTTTTCTGTTAAACAATCTCATCTATATGCATTTTATTATATTTTATATTTTATTTATGATATAATTTTATTTTGCAGGTCATTTCATAATATGCGAATTATATGATATTGAAAATATTAATAAAACTATACGACTTTCTGACATACCAACTACTCTAAAATGTAGTTTTATGTCTCAACCATATCGCTTAAGAGAAGTGGTTAATCTAAGATCTTCTGGAACACGTAGTTCTGATCCAAAAACAATAGGACACTTTACTGCTATTTGCCAAAGAAGAGATAATTCCTGGATACAGTACGATGATTTAAAAGAGACAAAAATTACTGTATCATCAAATTTCAACGGAAATGTACAATTATTATTATATACCATGTAATATTATATACAGAAGCATTACATAATATTATATGTATAATTGTTCATGTTAAATGTTAAATGTTTAAATACGATGTTGTTTAAATAAACTATACTATAACTAGTTTTAATAAATGAAATGTGTTTAAAATAAATTATTTTCCCCCAAAAGAGACAATTTCGATTTATATAAAAATCCAAATCACATGCAATAATAATATAATAGATAAATTTATTTCTACACAAAATTGGATAGTAAGAATTGTTATTAATTCATTAACTTTTCTATCCTTTTGAATAGATGTTAGAAAATTATTAAATGTTGTCTTGTAATACAATTTAAATATCTGAGATCTAAGATTAAGATTATCTGCAATAATCTTTTATATGATATTTCACATATCAGTATTAATTTAATTCATACACAAAGAATTTATAAAAAGAATATATACTAAGATTCATCAAAATATAAACTAAACATTTGCGATTGAATATTTTTATTTTTAAATGGTGGGGGGGCTGAGTCGATATCGACTCAGCACCCCCCACCAAAAGTATTAAATTCCTGCGCAGTGCAACGAGCTCAAAATTTTTAATTTGCGGCATATGAAAGCTCATAAATAGCTCATAATTGTGCGCTATTTGTTTTTTTTATTTTTGCAAGATGGGGGGGCTAGCTCGATAGGGGTATTAATATTTCGTAATAGCGATGGTGTGTAAATTTATAAAGTTATAATTTTTTTCATACATTTTATAAATTAGCGTATAAAAACCTAGTGTCTTTTATTGTATCATAGATCTTACATTACTCACACACATCAAAAATATTATACATTAAAGTAATAAGACATTTTTATAATAATTATTGCTGATAGATAATTTTATTTTATTTATCAATAATAGATTTCCAAGTATAATGGGAGGAATTCCACCGCAGAAAGCAGCTTCACTAATAATCGATGCGCAAAGACAAAATTTCAAAGAAAGAAGTATACCTTCAAGTTAGCTGCCGATATTTCATTTAATGAGGTAAATCGTGCAAATAAAAATTCTATTATTAAATACGCATAATATATTTTCAAAAAAACACTACATATGTTAATAAACTACAAAGCGATTCATAAATCGCTAATAAATGCAGATGCTATTATACTACGATTATATTATTTCCGTTCGTATATATTCTCTATAATAGAAAAGTTTTGATTTCAGAATTTTGCCCAACAAGGTAATTTGGTGCATATATGATTTCATAGGTTCAGCGCTGATGAAGAAGATTAAAAAATATGGAAAAATATGGGGCTATATACATCATTACATATTACATATATGTATATCTTACACTTACAATATACAGGGTAAATCATTAAAAACTGCCTTCTCAAATATCTTCATAAATATTCATTTGATACAAAAACGTTTAGGATAACAGTTAGATAATTCTGAAAGGGCGATATTTTTGTAGTTTTAGTAGTTTAGTAGTTTTAGTTTTTTTTTTTTTTTTATATGGAGGCGTCAAAAAATTTTCATCGTCATCTTAAATTTTTTAAATGGAAAGTCTTTAATCAGCTATAATTGTAGTGGATGAAAAGACAAATCCAACGATCTATAACACTTTGATCGTGGGGTGACCTTGAAATGAAAAAATCTAGAGAAACAGGAAGAATAGTAGATAAGTAATAAAAGTAATAATTTTTCAAACAAAATGAATTAATTTTATTTAATAAGATAATCAAAGTGTTGCCCATTCATTTCATGATACTTTTGAATATTTTTGAAGTATTTATAAAAAAAACACATGTATTTAATGTAATTATAAAAAACTTCATACAATATGTATGAAACAAATTACGAACAATGAACAAGAATAATAACGAATATTGGTACTAATATCAAATTGTAACTGAAAGTTTATGAAATATACTCGAATCTTTTACAAGTTTTTTACTTTTACTTCTCGAAACATAACATTTTTTATATGTAATTGAAATTTCAAAATGTGTGCACATATATATCAGAGATATTATTTTGTATGCAGATGTATACACATTAGAATTCCGATTGCACGTAAATGTTCGTGTTTTGTTACTGTTTTTCTGAGTACTCATAAAAGATTCGAATATGTTTGACAAAGGGTAAACATTGCGTTAAACGGAGCAACGAGATACGACCGTGCCCTTGACATATGTTGTCAAGGTCATTACCCTGAATAACTCAAGAGATTTTAACCGTCGCTCATTGTTTATTAAAAAGTTATTCACGAAAGAGTTTCCATGAATTATATGTAAGGTAATTATACAGAAAGAGGTCAACTTCATGTATGACCTTGACCTTGATATATGTTGTCATGGTCATCGTCCTGAGTGACCTTGACCTTGAGAAAAGTGGCGGTTACGATCCGTTCAAAAGTTATAAAGCATTAATATAAGTATAAACAAAAGCATAAATTTTAATTTTAAATCAGAAATAAGTTTGGGTTAGGTTATATCTTTCGCCCCTTCATGGGGGGGCTTCACTTTCGGAAGATATAACCTAACCCAAACCTATTTCTGATTTAAAACTAAAATTTGGTTAGTGAAATGAAAATTTAGTTAAATATATTCAATTTGAAAAATAACGATAATATTAAACCGATATTATAACAAGTAAATTTTTTTTGTTTATAACTTTTTAATAAACAATGTGCGACAGTTAAAACCTTATGAGTGTTATTCAGGGTGATGACCTTGACAACATATGTCAAGGGCACAGTCGTATCTCGTTGCTCCGTTTAACGCAATGTTTACCAAAAAGTTTTATTATATATAAATGCCATTATGTTTCCAAATACTCGTAACAGGTTCGAATACATATTGCAGATGTTAGATATTATTTAAAATATATTTCCCTCCATTCTTACGCGCGCGCATACGAACGTGACATTTAGCATTATAATTATAACGTATTGTACAACAATAGGGGATTAGCATTGGCAAAAAATTTATTTATTCTCATTTCATCATAAAGTTTCATACAAGTCCGTCAATGCTTATTATTAATCTTTGCGAAGCAATAACGGAAATATCGCAACAAAAATTAGAAACAGCTTGTGCCTGCACAAAAAAGTCGGTGCGAGATGATGTTGCTTCGTCATTGGCTCCGCCTCTGAATAATAAAGAGTCATCTTATCATAACAGGTTTTCGATATTCTGAACATTATTCAAGAAAACCGCATAAGATAATAAGAGCGGCGAGCGCGCGCAACTGGCTACAGATTGCTTCCGAATTCGGATCGACTCCATTCGAAGTTATCTTCGCTAATATAGTCTTTTCTTTTCGCTATCAAAGTCGCTTGTTTCGTTTGCAACCGCGAGTTTTATCGTTAGTTATATTCTAGCCCGAACTATCTCTGTAAAATACACCTATAAATATTCTGTTAACAGTGTATTGTCTATTTTTCGAGTGGGATTCAATCATCAGATTGGAAGAAAATTCGTATATCACGATAAAAGAGTTTTGGACGGCGATTAAAATCAGGTAAATAAAATAAATCTTATCTTTAAAAAATCTTATTTGTAAAAAATAAAAATTTGAAAAATTATAAAGAATTAAAAAAAGTTATCACCTCAAGAAATATAAAAATAAACAGTAATAAATATAAACAAATATAAATATAAATATAAATATAAATATAAATAGTAAAGATGACGTTTATATATTCCCTTATTGTTATATAAGTATAATTATCAAATTGTCGAGAGAATCGCTTCATTTAGCGAACTTTTTGTGTGATATAGAAAAATATATATGATTAAACATGCCTAGTATTAGACTGATAAAACCAAGCCGCAGAAAATAATTCCAAAAATCGGAGAAGAATGTATTACATAATCACGTTAGAATATATATACAGGATGTCTGGTGAAGATTGTGCCAATGCTCGTTAGCAGGTAGAGCACAGTAAACTGAACAGAAAAGTCCTTTACCATTTTGCGATTTTCGTAATAATTATTGAAAAATTAATTAGAAAAGATTGACCAATTCGTATGATATAAGCGCGGTAAAAAGGGACAACCCATTGGTGTGATTGCTAGGACGCAAGAATCCATCGTTATGTACCACTCATATGTAACCGTTATCATTTGTAGCGCGTTCCTCCCAAAACTTTTTCGCGCACCTAGTGACCGCAAACTTTTGGGATGTCTCTGGGCCGTTTTTTCTTACCGCGCGCTTATAGTCACTCGAATTGGTCGATCTTTTTTAATTAATTTCTCAATAATTATTACAAAAATTGCAAAATAGTAAAGAACTTCTCTGTTCAGTTTATTATGCTCTACCCGCTCACGAACGTTGGCACAATCTTTATTAGACATCCTATATATATACAGGGTGGGGCATTTATATTGAGACACCTAAATATCTAAAAAAATAAAGCAAGATAGAAAGAAATGTTTCAGACAAAAGTTGCATGATTTTGAGGGGGTCACATAATAAAAATATGGACTTGACCTTGAGTGACCTTTTCAAGATGAAGTCAATGTGATCGATGTTTTCTTAAATGGAACCCCCAATTTTTTATTGCATATTCTTGTAGCTTATCTCGAGAGCTTTTCAAAACACACTAATAAAGTATTTTTTTATTAAATACTTTTTGAGTTATTTTATATCTTAACCTGACATATTTTGATATAAAAAATAAAATATCTCGTAAAATATTTAGTTTTCGATAATCTTACCGTAATACTTTTATGTACAGAATAATGAGACAAATCAATTACTATAAAGAAAAATAATTACTTTTAAGAGAAAGTATGTAATTATTTACAATGTATGTTTTTAAACAATTATTTGTCTTTTTTTATACCGATTGATTTGTCTCATTATTCTGTAAATAAAAGTATTACGATAAGATTATCGAAAACTAAACAAGAATATGCAATAAAAAATAGGGGTTCCCATTTAAGATTTCAAAGTTACCCACAGCCCCACCCTCAGGTGGGGCGGTAGGCGGCTAACTTTTGCGGAATGGAATTGCCCCCTCGAAAATATTGAGGGTTTATTTGGAACATTTTTTTCGTACAATGCTTATTTTTACAGATATTTTGCAGTCTCAAGTTAAAAAACTCTTTTCGGAACTTGTACATTTTGGGAGCAACAAATTCGGACAATACGTCAATATTAAATTTAAGCAAACAACAAATTTTTTTCTTTGGCAACTTTTTAGCAACAAATGAGCAACAAATAAAAATATTAATTAGAATTTATTGTGCTCATTTTGTTCCGCTAACTTATAAGACGTACTGTTAGGCGAGCTATCAGGAAGGACGCAGGTCCGTAAGAGCGTGCGAGCGAGATCGGATTTTTCGAAGGAAAACCCGAAGTATTCCTGCCGGTGGGACGAGCGTCGTCGACCAGATATTGTTGCCGATTTATTGTAGGTAATTCATTCGGATGAGTCGCGCCCTTAATAGTTGTCGAGCCACGCGTTTTGGTGAATTAACTTTTGTGAATTTTGAGTAGATTGCGTCGCAACGGCCGATGGTCACTTGCTACTCATTCGGATTATAGAAAATAGGTTCTCTCTATTTATTTCGCCGCCGCCGACAGTCATTAATGTTAGTTTCGCGTTTGTGACTATTGTATGTTGAAAATTATCGGGATCTTTACGCTCACGCGATCGATATTCCGAATCGCGTAAAGTATTGCGCCACGCGACTCGTACACCACAGTCATTCTCAATAGTTTTCGTATTCTTTCTGTGCATTGTTAGCGCGTATCTTGTGTGTAGGAAATGAGAGTAAGAGGAAAGCGAAATTCTGAAATATCGTGCAGAAAATCTGTCGGGAGTCTTTGAGCCCGCTATTAGTTTCCGCGAGTCACTCGAAATATATATTACGTATTTCAACGCAAAGGTCGTCGTTATTGTTATTGAGACGTATACCGGCTCCCCGCGAGCCGGCTAAAGGACTGATTCGAGCCGTGTCATCTAGAATTTTCTAGTATATCGAAGCGGATTCACGGACGTGCGTAAAGTAGTTACCGGCGCATTCGAGGGATTTCTTTAGTTGTCGTGGCCTAAATAAGTCTCGTACGGCGGAAATCCTCGCGGCCGAAAAGTCGAGTT